AACTGATATGTATTGACTTATCTTTGTCATGTTATTTTCTTGTTGTTGGTTCCCTTTCTTCCCCCCTCTGTTTAATTACTTGCCTTGCTGGGTGGATTTATTCTGTTGGGGTTCATGGAGTTGTAGGTGTTGTTATCTCTTTCTAGAATGTCTGTCAGAACATTTTGGAGTGCTGGTTTGGTGGTTGTGAATTTCTTTAGGTGTTCTTTGTAATAGAAGTATCTTATTTCTCCATTAATTTTGAAAGATAGTTGTGCAGGGTACCTCATTCTAGGCTGGAGGTTGTTTTCTTGTATGGTTTGAAATATTTCAGTTTAAGCTCTCCTTGACTTGAGGGTTTGTGTTGAGAAGTCTGCTGTGAGAAAAAGTGACTTGCTAATGGGAATTATTTTATTTAGGTTGAAGATACAATTTCTGAACAGTCTATGTATAATACAATAACTACATATATTACTGAGATTCTTGTTCTACAAGTATAAAATAAAAAAGATAATGCATAAAAAAGAGAAGTCTGCTGTGATTCTGGTGGGTTTTCCTTTATACATGGTTTGTTTCTTTTCTCTAATGGCTTTTAATATTCTGTTCTTGTGTTGAATTTCTGGAATCTTGACTATTATATGCTTTGCTATAGTTTTTTATCATAGCTATTGGAGTTCTATCTGCCTCACTTACTATATATCAAATTCTTTTTCAATGCTTGAGAAGTTTCCTGCCATTGCTTCTGTGAACAGGTGTTTTATGTTGTTTGCTCTATCTCCTGCTTTTTCATTGACTCTGATCCATTTATGTTATTCTTCTTTGCGTCATCTAGCAGCTGTCAATTTTCCATGGTCCCTTGCTATTTTTAAGAAATCTTTCTTTTCATGATTACTAACCACAATGCTGTCTTCTATATCTGGCTCATTCTGCTGCACATACTTTCAAGTGAATTTTTAATCTCCTGGATATCTGAATCTGTTTTATGGATTCCATTTCTTTCCTATGTTAGGCAGTCATGGCTTCCATCATTTTCCTAAGATCTTCTACTTTTTAAAATCAGTATCTGTTCTGGAGTCACTAACCATGTCTTTCAATATGTCACCATCTCTCTAGTTATCTTAGAGATTATTTCTGATTTGATTTTTTTCCCACAGCCTCATTCCTCTGCTTTGTTCTTTCCACTGTTACCACTTCAGAGTCCACGTGGGTAGCTTTTGAACTGTTCCACTTCATTGCCCCATGGGTTTGCCTTTGGTAGGTGGGAAGTCTGAGGTTGCATCTTGCGAAAGTGTCTTCTCATTTTCTATTTTTTTTTAGGTTAATATCTGTGTTGATGCTTATAAATTGCTTATGGTATGTAGTTTCATTGCTAGTATTTAGAACACTCAGGAAATGACTGCTTCTCAGAGGTGTCTTCCAGGTGTAGCTAGCTTTTGGGTTCTGAGTCTGTTGCAGGATCTTACCTCTTCAATTTATTGGGGATGAGAGGTTGGTGCCTATTTGGCCTCACCCCTGGTTCTTTGGCACTCACCTATAGTATTGTTTATGACCTTTAGGCAATCTCAGTCTTGGTATATCAGAAAGAACAACTGATTAGAACAATTTTGTCATGCTGGCCAAAGTACAATCAACAATAACAATAGCATCAAACACAGTCCAAAAATGACAAACTATTGTAACTATTACCTTGCCAACTTTAATCATATGAACTATATTGTGGTTATATAACAAAACCTAAAACCAGAAAAATTGTGTACAGTAAATATTCTCTCAATATGGTGATTTTACCCTCAGGGGAGAAAATTTAAAGGGTACTGGGGGACAAATACAGAGATAGAAGAGGAAGTGATTAGAAGCAAGGCTAGAGAACAAAGGAAGATTACACAAACTTTGGGAAATTGGTGAAGGAGACAAGAAGGAAAGAGAAGGAATAAAGCCGGGCATGGTGGCACACACCTGTAATCCCAGCACTTGGGAGGCTGAGGCAGGAGGGTCATTGTGAGTTCAAAACCAGCCTGGGCTACAAAGTGAGCTCAGGACCAGCCTGAACTGCATAGCAAGAAATAAAACAGAACAAGAACAGAGCAAGAAAATTAGAAACAATGTCCACACTCATATATAAACAGAAACAAACAATCAAGAAAAAAGAAAACAAAATAAAACAAAGCAAGAAAAAAAAAAAAAGAAGAGAAAAAGAAAAAAAAATTTCTACTTCAGGATGTGTCTCTGCTGTCCCTGGTAGACAGAGTGGGCAGACAGAGCCCAGATCTGTGATGATTAATCCCAGCAAGCCAGTTTAAATTTACAGCACGGTAGTGGATAATCCCAGGAAGCCTGCACCTTTAGTTCCACTGAAGTTCACGCTGGTTTCTGGCTGTGAGGTTGGAACTGGATTTGTTCAGTCTGCAACACTGTGTGTGCCTCCTGCCAGCTTGAACTCAGATCCTTGATTTCCTACTGACTTGATCTCAGTTCTGCCTCACCCTGACACTGAGAGCCTCTGAATGGGGCCAGCCCACAGCTGCTCTGAGTTCTGAGCTCAGCTGGCCTCTCTCCAAGATGGCTACTGGCCAATCACCTTCTCCTGGGGCATATCTGAACCTGGATAATTCACCAGCCCTTGCAGTCCTCTGCATCCACTGCTCCATTCTACAGGTGCGATTCTCTGTGGAGGACTCAGGTCGCCAGTAGTCACTGTGTGTCTGCAGATTCAAGCTTCTCCTCCCACACAGTGAGTCAGGGCTCAGGGAGAAAGCTCCACTTACCACCTCCTCCTTCTGCGTTGAGATCTCTCGCTTCTCTTTCTCTCCCCATGGGATTCAGTTCTTGTTGCAGATCCTTGCTGGGTGCTGGGAACCCACTTTCCTCCTCCTCCTCTTCCACCCCTTGCTATATTCCAGGGTCTGGACATCAAATTGTGGAGAGGCTGTTTCTCTGCTACTCATCACTGTGACATCTTCCTGGAAGTTTGTTTGTTTGTTTTTGAGACAAGGTCTCACTATGTAGCCCAGGCTGGCCTTGAACTCTCAGCAATCCTCCTGCCTCTGCCTTCCAAACTCTGGGATCACAGATGTGCACCCTCATACCTGTCACCTCATTCAATCTTCATTACCTCCTTAAGGACTCCATCTCTAAATACAGTCATGTTGGGCTTCACATGAATTTGGGGCTGCACAGTTTGGCACACATCATATACCTAGAAACTGTAGTGAGTTCTAGAAACTTGACTTAGACTCTGTCTTAAAATGAATGAACTAGATTGGTGGTGCTGCCGCTGTTTGAGACATTGTCAGTGTTAGTAATTGGCCACGGATTTAGGTGGTGTTAACCCAACAGTGAAGTGGGTTCACAGTAGACCGGAATTATCTAAATGTCCCTTGAGTAAGGCATGGGGTATCTTGTATTTGTAGCCAAGGGCACAGGGACTGCCAAGTGCCACTGAGCACAGTGGATACTGCTCCAAGGGGGACAGAATGCCCAGGTGGCTGTGGTCTGGGGTGTCTGCTGCTCTGCCCCATGTTGGGGAACTTTGGCTACCAAGGTGCAGCCACAGGTGGGCAGAGAGAGCACCCAGAGCCACTACTGTGTCCCTCCGTCCCAGGTAGTCAGAGCAGGAGCTGCCCCCGGGCAGAACATGGGGCCTGAGGTCTAGTCACCTGCTCACCATGGCCTCTGCTCCCCCACAGCTAAGCATTGACAGTTGCTGGGTAGGCTCCTTCTACTGCCCCCAGGCTGACTTCTCGGCCACCATCTACGACGCCATCTCCACGGAGAGCACTCTCTTCATTCGGCAGAACCAGCTTGTCTACTATTTCACAGGCACCTATGCCACGCTCTACAACCGCAGCCACAGCAGTGGTGAGGACCACCTCAAGCGAGGGGACCCCTGGAGACCCTGGGGTTGGCATTGCTGCTGATGGCAGGGAGGGGCCAACCCAGGTTGTGAGCCACCCTGCCGGGCTCCCCCAGCCTTACCGCCGCCAACACTGTGAGCCAACTGCAAGAGGGAGGTGCAAGCAGGGAGGGAAGAGACAGAGTGAGAGGAAGCCGCAGTCGTAAACAGGCAGAATGGCAGGATGACAAACCAAGAGAGATGCAGCGGGTGTGGTGGTACACACCTATAATCCTGGTTAGTCAGGAGGCTGAGGCAGGAAGATTGAAAGTTCGCACCCAGCCTGGACGACTTAGTGATTTAACAAGATCCTATTTTAAAATTAAAAATGGCCAGGCATGTTGATGCACACCTGTGATCCCAGCACTTGGAAGGCTGAGGCAGGAGAATTGCTGCAAATTTGAGGTCAGCCTGGGCTACACAGTGAACTCAAAGCCAGCTTGAAGTACATAATGAGACCCTGTCTCAAAAAGAAAAGAAAAGAAAGGGGCTGGAGAGTAGCTCAGTGGTATTGTTTAATCCCCAGTACTACAAAAAAAGAAAGAATGAAAGAAGAGCCAGTGAGAAAGACACTCAGAGAAAGACAGGGATGGGGGAAGCATGCAGTGTGTCAGAGGGAAAGAGCGAGAGGAGACAGACAGACAGACACACACACACACACACACACACTTGTTGAGGAAAAGCCATGGAGGTGATTGATCAGAAAGGGAAAAGGTATTTTGAGTTAGGACTGGACTGGACTAGAGGCAGACCCTGTCTCAAAAAGAAAAACAAGACACTTCTGATCTTTTCATTTTTTGGTTTTTGGCTTTTTTTTGGTTTTTCTCCAGTACCGGGAATCGAACTCACTACCTTGCACTTGCCAGGCAGGCGCTGTGCCGCTGAGCTAAATCCCCAGCCCAAAATTTATTATTTCTTTTTTTTTTTTCTGGTACCAGGAATCAAACTCATGACCTCGCACTTGCCAGGCAGGTGCTGTGCCGCTGAGCTAAATCCCCGGCCTCATTTTTTAAATGCTACTGAAACCCTAGTTCTTTTAGTTTCCCCATCTAAAGGAGAGATGTCAGTTTGTAAGGTAATATACAGACAACTATACTGTAGTAGCCAGATTACACCTGTAATCCCGGCCCTGAGGAAGGCTGAGGCAGGAAGATCGCAGGTTTGAGTTTCACTTGTTTATTTATTTATTTATTTTTGGTACCGGGAATCAAACTCAGGACCTTGCATGTGCCAGGCAGGTGCTGTGCCACTGAGCTATATATCCCCAGCCCTTTTTTGTCTTTTTGAGACAGGGTCTCGCTATGCCGTTCAGGTTGGCCTTGAGTTCACTTTATAGCCCAGGCTGGTCTCGAACTCACAACGATCCTCCTGCCTCAGCCTCCCAAGTGCTGGGATTACAGGTGTGTGCCACCATGCCCGGCAACCCTGTTTCAAAATAAGAAATCAGAAAATAAGTGTCTGGGAATGGTAGCGCACCCTCTCTCCCCAGGTTGGGTTCCTGGAAAAGTACCATAATTTACATTAGTGCATCCTCCCAGCCACTCCATTTTCCTCCTTTAGGGCCCTTTCACAGTGGGGGAAATCAAATGAAAATGGTTTAAGCCACAGAAAAGGGCTGTTTCTAGGCTTCTGTAGCTGATAGCCTGGAGCATGTTGCTTTTAGGCACAGCTGGATCAGGACTTGTCTTCTCCCTGTGGGTGCCATAGCTCCTACCCCACCAGCGAGGCGACACTCTGAGCCCTCTGTGGCCGCAGGAAAGGCATGTCTGCTACGGTTGTCAGCTGGGATGCACTCCCATTTGCCCAGCTTGCCCGTGTCCTGTTCCAAACCAGTGACTCTGACCAGGGCAGTGAGACAGGGGCCCATACCAGCTGGACCTCAGGGACAGAGGACCAGGAAGGGGGCTTTTCTCAAAAACAGCTGCTGCCACTGTCCAGGGTCACCAGACGCCATCCTGAACACATGGGCTCCCTAAGGCCGGTGGGATGAGGATGGGAGCCCAGGCCCAGGTCCTGACACCCTGGTCTGAGGCCCTGTGCTGCGTCCCCCAGGCAGCTGGGTTCGGGTCCTGGCCACTGAGTGCATCAAGAGGCTGTGTCCCGTGCTTTTCCACAGCAACGGCTCTGAGTACGTCATGGCCCTCACCACAGGCAAGCATGAGGGCTATCTGCACTTCGGGACCATCACCGGTAAGGGAAGCCAAGATCCCTCCAGACTTCTCTGAACCGTGTGTGTGTGTGTGTGTGTGTGTGTGTGTGTGTGTGTGTTTATTCGTTTGTAAAGATAAGGCTTGGGGGTATGTTGTCTATCTTTCACTACATGTTTGGTTACCAAGTAGACCAGTTAGAAAAAAATCCTTCAAACATAAAGTATTTGTGGACTTCTAAAAATGAAAAGGCCAGGTGTCAGCTTCAGGCGTGGCTTGATCCAGGGGCCTACAGGATTTGTATGCATCAGATTTCATCTCTGGGCGGGGTAGTATAGTGTAGTAACTTACTGTAGCAGATTCTAGAGAGAAACTGTTCTCTCGCACTCTAGCTTGTGGCTTTAGAAAGCTGATTTGACCTCACTGACTTTTTCCCTATCTGTAAAATGGGGTTGAATGATGATAGTAGCACCTACTTGTTTTGGTTGATATAAAGGTAAAGGAAATTGGTGTGTAACAATTTTAGAACTGGGCCAGGGCCATGGTGGGTACTATTAAGGGTTTGTTATTATCTGCCCTATGATTTGGCTTCATTTTGAAGTAGACTTTTCTTGCAGTGTTTAATGATGGCTTCTGAGCTGGACATGGTGGTGCAAGCTTGTAATCCTAGAATTCTGGGAGGGTGAAGAAGGAGGATTGAAAGTTTAAACCCAGCCTGGGCAAGATAGTAATTGAGCAAGTCCCTATCTCTCTCTTCTTTTTTTTAATTTTAATTTTAATTTTTAATTTTTAAATTTTTTTTGGTCTTTTTGAGATAGGGTCTCACTATACAGTTCAGGCTGGCCTTGAGCTCACTTTGTAGCCCAGGCTGGTCTCAAACTCACAACAGTCCTCCTGCCTCAGCCTCCCAAGTGCTGGGATTCAAGGTGTGCGCCACCATGCCCAGCTAGACTATCTGAAAATAAAAGTATAACGTAAGAGTCTGGGGATGGAGCTCAGCGCAAAGGCCCTGGGCTCACTGTGAGGGGTAGGGGAAGGCCCCTGGGAGCTGGAGGCCAGAAAGGGAGTAGCCTCTTACTGACCCTTTCTGAGTCACAAGCCCTGACTTGAGCCCATTCCTGTGCCCGGAGGCAGACTCACTGCGCTGGGACAGGGTGCCTGAGGGAAAGGTCCCGAGGCACTGGGAGACCCCCTCGGGGAGCTGGGGGCTGCGACAGGGTGGGAAGGGCCTGAGCGTGCTCTCACTCCACAGAGGGCCGCGTGACCTTCGAGATGCTGCCCAAGGGCAGGTCCGTGTGTGAGCAGATCTCTGGTACTGCGACCTCCCGTGGAGCGGGACCGTTTGGGGCTATGGAGGTGGGGGAGGAGCCTGCGGGATGCGGGAGGGGAGGGCCGGCCCGGGTGGGTCCTGGGGGGTGTGGAGCACCGGGGCCTCCCAGGATGCGGCAGTGGGTGGCTGGATCCCCTGCAGCTGTGGACCCACCTTCCATCCGCAGTTGGCAACTGCTCCATTATATGGGCCGTGTTCATCTCGGGCGAGTACAACATCCTGCTGCTGGTGGAAATCGGAGGCCTTACCGCCAAGTCTTTCCAAGTGGTCCGCTACAGCCTGAGTAACGGGGGCGATGGGGGGCGGGGTGACCATTTTCTCCATCCAGAGGGAGGTCAGCCCGGCAGGCACAGGAGGGGCGGGGCTGTTCAAGTCAAATTTAGGTAAAGAGATAGCAGCTGCGCGTGGTGGCACAGACTTGTAATCTTAGCACTGAGAGAGGCTGAGGCAGGAAGATTGTAAGTTCCACCTGGACAATTTAGGGACCCTGTCGCAAAAAACAAAAAAAGGGGCTTGGGACTGCAGATTTAGCTCAGCGGCACAGTTCCTGCCGGGCAAGCTTGAGGTCGTGAGTTCGATTCCCGGTACTGGAAAAAAAAAAAAATTAAAAAAGGGGCTGGGATGAAGACCCAGGTTCAATCTCCAGTGCGGGGAAGCGGGACAAAAGGGATAGAAAGGGATAGTAGAGTGGAGAATAGAGACTCTGGTGGGCTGCAGAAAACTCAGCGACCATGTAGCTGGAATCAAAAAAAGAGGACAGGGAATGAGATTGAAGTGAGCAGATCCAGATCCGGAAAGGCTGTGGGACTCACGAAAAGTAGGTTTGATTTCATTTCCCTTGCAGTGAAAACCAGGCTACCAGATACAGTTGTATAGGCTGTGCACTGCATAAAACCCCAGCCAGGGGGCCAGAGGAGAGAAGTCTCATTCCTTAATTGGACACGTCCTCTCAGAGGCAGTACATTTTTAGAATTCACCTCAAGGAATTCTGACCCAAATGGGAAGCAAGCCTTGGAGAAGGTTTGGGGAGGTAGAGGGGGCCATAGCTAGCCCTAGCTTCAGGTTTGGGAAGCTTGGAGTTTCAGGAGATTCTGCTGTGTTTTCACCCACAGTCAGTGATGACTCAGAAGTCCTCTACATCATCCCAGATTTCATCCCTGATGGTAGGAGGGGAAGGCAAGGGTGGCCCCCAAAGTGGGTAGGGGCCCGGGTGACCCTATTTGTGTGCTGTATTCTGTCCTCCTCTTTGGCTCCAATCAGCTCTTGGCTTGGAGTTCCTGATGATGGTAGGCACCGAGAAGTACACCAGCTCCCCCATGGTGCCCAAGGGCATGTTCTTTAACACCTACAACAACTTGCTGTTCATTTGGGGCAACTTCCTCCTGCAGAGGTAGGCAGGGCCTTGCCCTGGGTGGCCCAGGCAGAGTGTGACCCCCAGACCCACTGTGTGTGTGTGTGTGTGTGTGTGTGTGTGTGTGTGTGTGTGTGTGTATGCGGGCTTTCAGAAGTCACTAAGCCTTCAGAGAAGGCCCAGGTGACTATGTCAGTACTGAGGGTGGGGAACAATGGATTAGGGTACTCAGGGATAGGATGGGGGAAATATATATATTTACTTTGTGGTGCTGGGGATTGAACCTAGAGCCTTTGCACTGAGCTACATCCCCAGTCCTTTTTGTTTTTATAATTTTGAGACAGGGTTTTGCTGAGTTGCCCTATCAGAGCTAGAACTTGTGGTCCCCCTGCTTCGACCTCCCAGAGTGCTAGGATTACAGGCACGTGCTACCACGCCTGGGAGTCTTCCTTAAAATGAAACTTTATGTGGCTGGGTGTGGTGCACTCAGGAGGCTGTTACAGGATTGCTGCTAGTTCAGAGCCAGCCTGGACTGCATAGTGAGTTCAAGGCCAGCCTCAACTATACACATAGTGAGACCCTGAGACCCTGTCACAATAAATAGACAAAAAAGAAATTTTAAGCCAGGCGCAGTGGTGTATGCCTGTAATCCCAGCACTCGGGAGGCTGAGGCAGGAAGATCATTGGAAATTTGAGACCAGCCTGGGCTACAAAGTAAGCTCAAGACCGGCCTGAATTGCATAAAAACCACAAAAAAAAAAAAAAAAAAAAAAAAAAAAAAGCCCCACAAAACTTTATGAGCAGGGGAAGCACATTTTCTGAGGACAGTTTAGGGCACTTCCCACTTTCTCACCACTTCTGTGCTGGATAGCAAACTGCTTCTGCTCTACCAATGGGGAGACAGGGACTCTGAGGACAGAAAGTCACCAGGGCTGTGGGGTTGGAGAAGAAGCTGGGAGTCCAGGGCCCTTTGCACTGGCTCACAAGGTAGCAGAGAACTGATCAGTGGGGCCTGTGTTATATTAGACCTGGTGCTGAGGAGCGGCTATTCGGGATGCCCAGGCTCTGAGCTCCCTGTCTCTGCCCCTTATAGCTACAATGAAGAAAACTACACCTACCTGGCGGGTTTCCCCAAAGAGTTAAGCATCAAATACCTGGTCAACTCATTTGGTGGAGACATCGCTATTATCACAGAGACTGAAGAGGTGGGCTGCCCTGGCCACTCCCCACTCCCTCTCTGTTCAGCCCAAATCCACCTCCCCTGTCAGGGCAAAGGGGCTGAGCGTGGGGGTATCCTCAGGGACTCTGGGAAAGGGCGTCAGAAGCCCCATCCATAACAGAACCCTGGAAGGCGGACAGGGTAAGAGTCTTTGTCAAAGTCACATAGCACCAGCACTCAGGAGGCTGCAGCAGGAGGATCACAGTGAGTTCAAAGCCAGCCGAAACGACATAGCGAGTCCCTGTCTCAAAAAACAAACACACAGACGAAAGAACGAACGTTCTGGCATAGGGGCTTGGGCAAGTAGAGCGACGGCTCTGCCGAGAAGCGTGGGGCTCACCTGGTCCCACCTCGACTGGGCTCCAAGCCTCAGCGCTGGGCGGAGGGAGGAGGGTGGAACTGAAGGTCCCCACGGCCCAGACACACAGCCCACTGCCCGGCAGATCTGGTACCTCCTGGAGGGCAATTACCACGTGTACCGGCTGTTCCCGTCCCGGGGCTGGAGCATCCACTCCAGTCTGCAGCTGCTGAAGCAGTCCTCCCTCTATGCCGCCAGTGAGACCTGGGTCACCTTCTTCTACGAAGACAGGGAGCTGTACCAGGTGCCCGGAGGGTGCTGCGGGGCCACACGGGGGCGCTCGCCGCAGGGTACCGACAGCACCTCACTGACCGCCTTCCCCTGCAGCTGGTGTACCTCGAGGGCGAGGGCGGCGGGCAGGGTCGCCTGATCAAGAGGCTCCTGCCTGTGGAGAAGCTGCTGCTGTATGAGCAGCAGAGCCACTACCAGTTGGACAGGCAGGGGTAAGAAGATGGGGACACATACCGGTGGCCCCAGAAGCTCCCAACCCTGGGAGCAGCTCCTTCCGGGCTGGGATAGGGGAGCTCAGAGGAGGACCGGATGCAGCCTAGCGGGAGGGCGAGTCATGCAGGGCCTCAAGGCGGAGGTGTCAGAGCTGGAAGCTGAAGATTGAGGAGAATGAGCCAGGTGGGGAGGTGCTGACTCGTATTCCGGGCAGGGGTGGAACCATGCATACAGGGCGCTGAGGAGGAAAGGAGAGTGGGTGTTAAAGAATCACAAGAACAAAAAAGGAACTAGAAGAATCACAAGTGCAGCCAGGCATACTGGTACACACATAATCCTAGCACTTGGAAAGCTGAAGCAGGAAGATAGCTGAAGGTTCACGTGCAGCCTGGGCTACATAGTTCAAGGCCATCCTAACTCCACAGGGAG